CCCACATGAGTGGGTTACTGGCCCTGCACACTCTCCAGCTTCCTGTCTCACCATGTGACTGCTCTCTCATACACTCCTGCCATGATGCCACTGCTGAGGCCCTCACCAGAGGCCAAATAAGTGGGGACACCCAATCTTGAGCTTTCAGCCTCCAAAACTGTGAATTAAATAAATCTCTTCTTTATACCTTACCTAGCCTCAGATACAAGTTACAGCAACAGAAAACAGACTAATATGCTGCAGTTGTTTTAACAAGTGAAGATAAGTTCTTTTGATAATTTTCTCTCTAGGAACTGGAACTCAAAACTCCTCCCTTTGAATGTGGGATGAATTTAGCAATTGGCTTCCAATGAATAGAGGAAGGAAAAGGAAAAATAGTAATATTACAGTCGAGAAGTTTACAGAGTCCACATTAATGAAGTGATCAAAATTAGTATCATCTCAGTGAGTGTTCTTCCCAAAGCCTTTAATCCCGATCTAACCAATAAAAATACATCAGACAAACCCAGACGGAGGGAATGTCTACAAAATACCTGACCAGTACTCCTCAAAACTGTCAAGGTGATGAAAAACAAGATAAGACTGAGACACTGTCACAGATTGGAGGAGACCAAGGAGACATGGTGAATAAATGCAACATGGTATCCTGGATTGGATCCTGGAACAGAAAGAGAACATTAGTGGGAAAAGGAGAGAAATGTGAATCAAGTCTGGAGTTTAGTAGAATACTAATCAGAGCTAGTTTCTTAGCTTCGGCAAATGTGTCATACCATAATTGTACAAGAGACCAACATTAGGGGAAGCTGAGTGTAGGTAGATGGGAAACATTTGAAGCTTTTCTGAAAACCAAAAAAAAAAAAATTTTTTTTTAAAGGCTCAGAAAACATTTCTAGTCTGTACTGAGTTGGCTACCAGCGGTCACCGGCTCCATTCCTAACTGTTCTTTATTTGACCCCCGAGATCTCATCTCACATGTCCCCTCTTCCAGGAAGTCTTTCCCGACCCCTCAGACTGGTGTCAGGTATCATCTCTGGGCTCTATAGCCCCCTGTGCTGCCCTATCCTGCCCTAAACTCTCTGCCTTGGCTTCCCCTCTCTGTCGTGACTGCTGCCTGCTGCTGGGCTGTGCACTCTGAGGGCAGAGGCTGGCTCGATCATCTCTATGCCCTACTCAGTTGCAAACAACACTAGTCTCTGTGACTGCACTGCAAACACCTACAGGCAGGCAGAAGCTGGGCCTCGATCCTCCCATCTGACCTTTGACCCTTCTCCACCCAGAGCCTTCTAGTGTCTTCTACAGCACTGACCCAATCCAGACACACCTGAGGCAGAGCAGATGGTCCATTCCACACATCCACCAAAACGAGGTCAGATCCCCCCACCCCGCCACACACACCCACGTCCCCCGGCACACCCACTGTCAGAAACACATTGTAACTGTATTCGGGGTGCCTGCCCAGTCTACAGCCCTTCACAGCACCCAGATATCAGAGCCGGAACCCTGCAGCCATCCAGCTTCTGTGTGGAATTTGGAATGGGGACCAAAGACTGATGGGGAACAAAATTGGATGGTCACACCAGGTTGGGGCAACAGTTCCTCCAGGGCCACCAAGCAAAGCAGAGGCCAGAGAGCCTAGGAGCAGAGGCAAAGTCCCACGATCCATGTTCTAACTGTTATGGTCTCTCAAGGCTCTTTTCCATTTCCTCCTATCACCATTCCCAATCAGTCCACTGTGGACTGCAGTCCCTGCATTCAAAATTTACCAATCCCGACAACTCCACACTCCTGCCCAGCCTTTACCTATGCACCGTCTGCTCTCACCAGGGCTGCAGCTCCCCGGTCTTCCTGGGCCTTCCTGCTGTCATTCTCAGACCTCGTTTCCATCTAGACTCTCTCCCTCAAGTGAGCTCAGCCTGGGCTTTCACATCACCAGTGTACCAACCACTCCCAAGCCCAGACCTCGCCGGAAGGCTAGGCTCGTTTATCCCTCACTTGCTCAGTGAGTACCTCCGTTATTCTTCTCCATACAGTTACCAGCACTCCCTCCTTCCGCTCAGGCTGCCTTTGACTGCTCTTTCTCATCTCGTACCAACAGTCCCAGTCCTGTGAATTCTCCTTCAAATTATATCCAACATCTGACCACATCTTCTGCTACCACCCTGGCTAAGCCCCCAGCATCTCTCAGCCAGGCTACGGCAGTGGCCTCTCCACTGGAGTCCTCCTAGCATCCACATGGTAACCAGCGGAGAGAACCTTAGATCACATCGCTTTAGCCTATAAAGTCTGATTATTTCCCACCCCACTCAGCACAAATGTCCAGTCCTTCCCCTGGCCTATCCAGCACCACGTAACCTTGCTTTTGTCTCCTTCCCTCCCACGCTGTTCATTCTGATCTAATCCATGCCTTTCTACTCCTCTGAAACATACCAAGTATGCCCCCAAGACCTCTGAACATGCTGGGGTTCTCCTCGCCACTTAGAATGTCCTTTCTCTCAAAATATTTGTACAACTGGCTTCCTTCCTTTTGATCAGGTCTCCCATCAAGATTTTCCTCAAACGCATCTTATCTTTAACCCTTCCACCCAAAATAACCCCACTTGTCACTCTCTTTCCCTTCAATATTCACATCTCATAACTTGTTGCACCACTGTTTTATCTGTCATCTTGCCCACTACAATGTAGGTTTCATGAGGATAGGCCTTTTCACGGTCTTCCTTGCTATTATAACACGAGCACCTTAAACAGTATTTGGCATATAATAAATGCCCAATATCTGATGAATCAGAAAATGAGTGAATTAAGACAGGGGAGGGGGTGATACAGCTTGGTGGCAGAGCACTTGCCTACCATATGTAAGTTCCTTGGTTTCATCCCCAACACCACACACACACACCCCACATACACACACGTACACAAAGATGACACTAGGATCATGTAGGATGTTTAGGGTTCCAAGTAACAGGAAGCTCAATTTACTTGACTTAAATGACACAGATATATGGAGTCCCCACTGAGAAAGTCCAGGACCAACTTGTGAGCTGAGGCCCGATCTGACATTCCATCAGTACCACCAAGGACCTGATGCCTTTCCATCTCTACCAGTCCTTCCAAGAAAATAGCCTATAACCACACCACAAGCAGGAAGTTCAAAATGCTAGTCACAGGAATACCACTCCTGTAATAACTGAAAATTCTAATGGTGATAATAGCTATTACATATTCTGGGTGTAATAAGGGCCAGGAACCTTGCTAGTAACTTTATCAACTTCTCCATACCTTCACTTTCTCATCTGTAGAATAGGAGTAATAACAGTGATACTTAAGAGTGGCGTTGAGGATTCAATGAGCTAACAGAAAAATTGGTAAGAGCTCAAAAAATATTAACTTTTGTTAGCTTCTGCTGCATAACAAATCACCCTAAAACACAGTACCATAAAATAGCAGCCAGTTAACTGCTTATGATTCCACAATCTGGGCAAGACTCAGAGGACGAGGGGCCCTTGGATGGCCTGTCTACTCCAGAGAGCATCAGCTGGCTGTTGGGTTAGGGTACCCAAGATGGCATCACTCCCACACCTGGAACATCAGCTAAAGCAGCACAACATGCAGAGGAATCTTTTGAAATACAGAATCTACTGTGTTCCCTGCCAGTACGATACTTAAAATACATGTGGAGCAGGGACCCAAATTCCTTCTAGGAGCAACACGGTCTGGCCTCTTGCTCCACCTCAGCCTTTTAAGTTCTAAGTATCACACACTCTTCTCTCTGGAGTTAATGACAACTCCTTGATGGCCTCAAACGTCTTCCTTGGGTCCAAACTAGGCTCCCTATCATGTGTTCATATAGCATTCTCTGCCTTTTTTGTAATTTCACATTTGTGTAATTATTTGACCTTCTGAACCCTCACTGCTGAGACAGTTCTTTGGGGGCAGGAAAACCATTCTGTTCTCTGCTGTGTTCCCTACACCGAGCATAAAGAAGAGGCAGGATGAAGTATCTGTTAAATGTCTTGAGCCCTCAGAAAAGTTTAAAGTGTATAGAAAGGAGATGGACAGTGTCCCCAGGATGCTGGAATCCAAATCTATGCTCTGAAATTGTTCATCTGAATAACCCGGTGAGCCCTACTGTGTGCCAAGCACTCCTAGGTGTTGCAGATAAAGCACGAAGTAGACAAAAGCTGCCCTCATGAAGCTGATGGTCTCTGAGTTAGGGGTAGGGGTAAACTAGATAAATCATATATTAACAGTGATATGATCAACACATGGAAAAAGTTCAAAAAGAAAAAGTTGATATGGATGTTAGTGTTATAATTTTAGAAAGATGCTCGGGAAAAATCTCCAGAAGAAAGTGACATCTGAGTGAAGGCCTAAAGCAGATGAAGAAAAGCATCTGGCATCATCTGAGAGATGAGCATTCCAGGTAAATGGAACAGCAAATACAAAGGCACCAGGGCCAGTGAGTCTGGAGCAGAGTGAGCAAGGACAGTTCACCTCGTCAGAGGTGAGGGGGGCAGACTGTACAAGGCCTTGTAGGCCATGAATAAGACTTTGGCTTTTAATTGAATGAGATGGAGCTATGGAAGGGTACTGAACAGGGAAGGATATGACCCGATGCAGGTGCTCATAGAGTCCCTCTAGCCGTGTATGACAGACTGTGGCAGGAGGGGTGGGAGCAGGAATATCACTGAGGAGGCTGCCACAGTAGCTCAGTGTGACCCAGATTACTCTGGAGATACTTCTAGAAAAACAAAGAGGTATCAGATAGGCAGTCAGCCAGGAGCTCAAGGGAGAGATCCTGGGCTGGAAACAGAAACGTGAGATTTACATTTCTGTGCCTATCCCAGATTCCTTACAGGGCCTACATGATCTGGCCCCTGATGGTGTCTCTAGGCTCATTCTGTACCCAATTAAATCAAAAGTTCTCTCTCTCTCACACACACACACACCCTGAGCCTACTTTCTAGGGTAGCTGTATGATCTTGGGCAAGTTATTGAATTGCTTCTGCGCTCAGTATCCTCATTTACAAAAGAAAGATCACAGGAGTACCTGTCTCCTAGTACTGTTCATTCAAAAAAATTTTTACTGAGGCAGTAAGAGTGTGACTCAGGGGTAAAGCGCTTACCCAGCATGCACATGGCCTGAGTTTCATCCCTAGAACCACAAAACAGAAAAAGAAAAAAATTTTTCTTTACGGAGAATCTAGTGTCAGAGGGTGAGCACAGAAACTATTCTCTTCCCACCCTCTACCGCCCCCTCCCATACATTCTGCCAATCTACCCGCCCTCTCCTGCACTCAGGCCCTGCTCTAATTCACGCCTGGCATCTCTTGCCTAGGAACCTGCTACAGCCAGTAGACCCAGAGTCTTTCCAGTCAATCTGCTTATTCTCATATCACAGCAAACTAGGCGATGCCCCTTACCTTCCCAAAATCCTCTTATGGCTCCTCATTGCTTTCAGGACAAAGTCACTTCACTAGATGGCCAAGAAAATCTGCCACAATCGAATCTATTCAGAACTTTCAAAATGATCTCCAAAACCACCCAATCACCTGCGGCTCACAAAACACAGGCTCTTTCCCATGCTGCTTTTGGGCATGCCAGTCCACCATATCATCCCCAATACATCCTTTTCGTATTCCGATCTTAGCTCAAATTTATCTCCTGCTTTTCCAGGAAGATCTCCCTACCCATGTTTTCTCTGGATTCCCAACGCATTTCAATCTTTCTCTCATTTGTCAACAGGTACACGTCCTACTCTACCAAAAGGAGCTTCCTGCGAGGCAGCCTAGACAGACTGGGCAGCTATCCCACACGACGCAGCTACTTCAGGTTTCAGTGCCCATGGATCTGCTTTGAAACTGTATACACACATGTAACCCGTGTGCTCTGCCCTCTTAAACCCGAGCCCATCTTTCGCACACCCAGCAAAACTCAGCACCAGGGAAGCCCACAAACAAAACCACCCAGTCATGGTCTCTGTACCTCTAATGACCCGCCTCCAATATCCAGCTTTCAGCGACCTCCAACTGCCGATTGGCTTCCTGAAAACCCTCCCCCAAACGTGTGAGCGAAGAGAATTCTGGTCTTTGTAGTTCTCCATCAAAAGAAGGACGTAAAGAGACTGCCACGTAGAAAACTCCATTTCCCAGGAACTGCCGCGCCCCAATGGTGGGATAACCTACCCTTTGAACCAGGTGGTTCTTGATTGGCCCGTTGGGAGACAGAAATTTCCAAACTGCCAGGGAAACAAGACTACTTACCTGGAACCCAGGGAGTACCTTTTTCTGCCTGAGACTCTCAAAATGCTTTGCTCCGCAATGATTCCAAAGGATGGGACCAGACGTGTGGATTGCGTCTGTACCCATTGCCTGCCTGTTACCAGATGGCATTAACAAGGCCAAGTGCATCCAGCACCTACCGGATGCCTGCCTGGCAGAAGTTGTTCCTGTGCAGACTCCTCCGGGAGCCCTGACTTATGAGGGCAAAACATAGTGTTTCCCAGAGACAGGCCAGAAAGGGGTATTTACTCCTTCCTCCTTCATGCCTCAGTTTACCCTGGAAAAGGTAAATATGGGCTAGGACCCTATCCAGGACTCTTTAGCTCCAGACCTCCTGCGGCCCCATGCCTCTATCAACAGCCATAACTTCCCCAGAAGGGATATACCCACACCACAGAGCTCTTCTGGCACCCCCTTTCCCAAGCCCCTGCCCCACCATGCCTCTGGGGGTCAGGTGAGGGGACCAAGGCCCTGCAAACGCTCAGGCAGGCATGTGAGAAAGCTCTTTACTGGGGGGGTACAGCGAGGAGGAGCAAGGCCATCTCCCCCTACCTGCCCCCACCCCCTCCTAGGGCCCTAGGGTAAGAGTCTCCCCTCCACCGGACCACCACTGTCTTTGGTACAATAAATAGAAAACAATGGGGGAGAGGGGGCCAAGGGTCCAGTCCTTAGTGGGAGAGTATGGCCAAACCCTCTCCTTGACCCCCTGCCCCGGGCCCAATCAGTGCAGGCCTCACCCACCCCAGCTGGGTAGCAGCAATTCCAGTCAAGGGGAGAGATGAGGATGGGAGCCCAGGGCCCCCAGATGGGGAGGGGGTATGGCTTCAGGAGGGGCCCCAGGGAGGGGGCTGGGTCATGAGCTGGCTGCTGTGCTCTGGGGTACACCACGGAGGCCCAAGCGCGGGCCCAGAGTGGCAGGGTCATCAGGGGGTGGGAGAGGTGGACGACCTCCTGTCATCCGAGTCCGGAGGGCTGAGGCAGCCGGGTGCTGGGGGGCAGGCGCTGGGTGAGGTGGGGAGCAGTCTGGAGGGCCGCCCACCAGGCTCACATCCATCAGCTCCGGGGGTGGTGGTGAGGTTGGTGATGGGGGCCGGCCAAGGCATCGGGGCTGGGGGGGTAACTGGGCCCCGGTCCCCGGCAGTGATGAGGCAGAGGTAGGGGCTTGATGTGTCTTGTGAGGCACATCACCCCCTGCCCAGGGGCGCAGCAGCTGGGAGGGTGGGACCTAAAAAAGCAAATGAGCAGTGGGTAAAGGAGAGCAGTCCTAAATGAGACCCCAGGCTCCCCACCACACATCTTCAAAGCTGCAGTACCTGGGGGCTGTTCATCTCACAGTCGGTAATGGGGGGCCCAGGGCCCCCACAGTATCGGTTGCTGTAGCGATAGGTCCGGTTGTCACTGGAGGAGCCACTGGAGCCTCCTGAAAGTGTCAGGAAGAGAAGAGGCCACAGATAAGAAGAGGGGTGGCTGGGGTTTAAAGTAGCAAGTCTGGCTCACAGCCTGGGCCCTTTTTCTGCTCTGGAAGCAAAGTACATTTGAAGGACCCTGTCCAGTTTTGAAATACAAGCTAAGAGTTCAGTTTTTTTTTTTTTTTTTCTTGGTACCAGGGATCAAACTCGGGCCCTTGCACTTGCAAGGCAGGCAGTGGAACCACTGAGCTAAATTCCCAGCCCTCAGAGTTCAGTTTTGAGTGTCAGACCAACTTTAGGGGTCTGAGCCCCGTTTCAAGATATCATGTCAGGGCCACATGAGGCTCTGCTCCCACCTTATTTTTAGAGTTCAGAATTAGGCTGCTTTAAATCTCCCAAGTGAGGCCCAGGGACAAGGTGCCCTAGGGCTGGCCAAACAAAGCTACCCCCACCCTGCTGCACCCCATCTAGGCACTGGGCACCCACCAGAGCTGGAGATGGAGCTGGCGGTACTAGAGGAGGGGCAGGTGTCGAGGGGTGTGGGTGAGGTGGAGGCACTGCTGCCTGCCGGGCCTGTGTTGGTGGCCTCATCGGCAGTGCGGCGGAAGAAGCCGTGCTGCAGAGCCCCCAAAGGGCTGATGCGGGCGGCGGGCTCATACTCCAGCATGCGCAGCACCAGGTCCTGGAAGCGGAGGTAGTCGGCGGGGCTGTGGCCCGGCTCC